TGTTGGCTTGGGAACAGATGCGTGAGTTACTGTGTATGTATTTGCACTATATGTTTAAATCTTGTGTGGTCTCTGTGATAAGTATAGTTAGTAACGAGTCGTTCCTGTCGGTGAAGATGAATTACTTTGGCAAATTCGGGATATCCTTTTCTATGTCTATATTACATTCACGTACTATCGCATCCTTTTTTCGATTAAACGAAGGCAGTATAGCATAAATGACAGGTAACCAAATAACTGATTTCCTGAGCCCAAAACTTCATTCTGCATTCTTCCAGCTCCAACTTGAACAGACTTTAGACAATGCAATTTTCATACGCCATCTTCGCTTGTATCCTCGCTGTTACTTTTATCACTGTTACTGATGGTAATGGACTTCGAAAGGGTCTCGACTACTCGCATTTGGAGCAATTTGACAAAACAAAATATCATCATTTCAAGCCGCGAAGTACACAACAGGCACTCAAGTGAGAAGGTCAGAATAGACGTCGACAAAGGCAATTGACCGCGACAATGTTGCACTTGTTCTCGTGTTCCTCGCTCTCCTTCAACTTTGTGTGGTAGACGACAGCCAGTTCCAGTGACGGTCAAATGACGTGGAATGCGTTTTGCTATGACTTACATCTGCATATTGCTATTAACATTAGCAATAAAATAATATATGTGCTTCAATGATCGATTATGTGACCTTAAGCTTTGCGTGACAGACGACAGCGTGAAGTTTGACGATTTCTAACAGCCTTGATGTCTGACAAACGTTTCGTGTTATGAATAATAATTTTCTATCTCTTTTGGCCAGGCCTTTTTGCTACTAGAGTAGTTAAGCTAATTAATTTGGTACTATTAGAATAAACATCTGCAAAATTTATTTGTAGACCAACATTTCTGTAATCATGCCAAACTACCTGGTCCGTATATGGAAATGAATGAGGGGACGAAAAAGCAACCCGTGAATAATGTTTAATCAGCTTTGTCCTCGGATGGAATCAACCCGCAAGTGAGTAGCTGAAGCAACCACATTTTTTACCACTATGCGAATCATAATTGATTTTGAAAGTGTATGATGTCAGTATTTCTCTCGTTCCAGTGCTGCCATATATATACACAATGAATAAATCTGCCTTGATAATGTACTATCTGGTCTGTGAATCATAAAAAAACAACGAGGAGACCTGGGGTGGCGGAGGTTGAGTTATTTAAACTTGGGCTTTAAGCGGTTTATCACAAAACCCCGTCTCTTATTTATATGAAAAATACAAGTCTTTTAGGTTTTATGAAACAAAGACCGATTTCAAGCCGCCCCGGATCTGTTCTCAACAAGATTCCTCTCGTTTTTCTGTCCTTGCCATCAAAACGGCAAGTAGCCTGGTACCCGCTTGACGATATGAGTCATGACAGAATCCGACCAAGTAGATGTTTCTGTCGATGTTAATCCGCAGCTGTGGAGTGCGTATATGCTGCAGCAGTCCCTACTAAAAAATGGAAGGAAGAAAGTTCGATCACGATTGATGTTTATTTACTGCCTACTTTCAAACACAGAAAGGCACCTGTAAACACTGCAAAGCCTACGCCACTTATCGATTTAGATCGGATCCTGTTAGAGATCATTCCATTAAATTCAAATCGTTTTTGAAGTCCATGACGCTGCTTATGATTGATGAGCATCTAAATGGTTTGTCAGGT